AAGGAATTGTTTTCTGTGCTCAGCTGCTGCTGTACGCTGGGCACACCCCCAAGCTTTGTCTGTCTCCTTTGTCATCTGTGACACAGGGATAATCATGATTTTCCCTGCCTCTCTCACAAGATTTTTATTACAATAGAATCAGTGAATTACTTTGGGTTCTTCAATGAAAGAAATTCTGACCAATGTTTCCTTGAAGGAAAAAGAGAGATGGCATCTTCAGAGTGAGTGTGGCCACCCGGGCTCGCTCTCTCTCTCTCTCTCTCTCTCTCTCAAATTATTGTACAACAGCCAGAAGGAGAGATGCCTTACCAGTGATGGACAAAGAATAGTCGCTAAAGACTCAAAAAGGCTAATGCTCCAAATGAGTGACTGTTCCTGAACATGGTGCAAGAAAGGGCAGGTTGCCATAGAACCTGGGGCTTGGCAACATGTCACAGAGCATGTGAAAAGGAGCTTATACATGTCAGGCTAAACTGTCCATCATTTCTTGTTTGATACTCATTAAACTCGTTGTGGAGTTGGATCCGACTCATAGCGACCCCTCCTTGGGTTTCCAAGGTGATACCACTATGGGAGTAGATTGCCCAACCTTCCTTCCGAGGAGTGGCTGGTGGGTTTGAACCACGAGCCATTTGGTTAGTAGTCAAGTGCCTTAGGCACTGCACCACCAGAGCTCCTTGTAGACTCTTGGTAGTCTCATAATATTCCTGGGAAGAAAAATGAAACTATGAGAGTCCAGTTTTCTGATAAGTTTAGAACTAATGATCTCGGCATCTTAAGCTGAGCAAGGAGCTTCAGGAGCAGAGGGTAACCTACAATGGTAAGTCAAATAAGATTGACAAGCAGTGTAATTACACACATGCACACACACAACTGCTTTTGTACATGTTCTAGAATCCCAACGTTAAAGCAAGAAGCAATGGACTTCAGAGATCATTTATTAAAACCTCATTTGTTGTTCAGGAAACTTGCATCCAGAGAAAAGTGACTGGCTCAAGACCACAGAACTAGTTAGGGGTGTCATCCAGCCTAGCATCCTAAGTTTCAGATTCCTAGGCTGTTCCCCTCAAACCTCCTCCTCATTCCCTATAGTCTATCCCAGCTTCTCTCTTGGCAAAGCCTAACATGTGGATAATTCAGAAATGACACATAAAAGGGGAGAGAAAGACACAAATGGCTTTGATGGTTTTGCATCTACCATTTAATCAGCTAAAAGGCATTTTTGCATTTGCAACTTAGTAGTTGACAAAACACCTTCTAGCCAAACCCTTCTCCCTGCCTGCTTCTGTGGGTGATTTTATCTACAAATCCCACTGCTATCCAGTTGTTATCTTCCACAGCAGGACTTGTATTCCTGATGCTGCTTTCTCAGTCCCACTGTTTGCCTAATAGTTAAGCCCAGGAAAAGGGCTGAAAACCCACATTCTGGAAAGAGAGAAAGAACAGCCTTTAACATGATCTTGATAACATCACTCCATAGCCTAAAACTTTCTCAGGAGCCCACTGCAGACAGGTTCAAATCAGAAGCAGAGTACACAAGTGGGGCCACAGACATGAGCTACCTTCCTCTGTCCTAATCTTCTTGGACCTTATATTCTAGCCATACCAACTACCACCAAGGCTATGCCATATCCTGTTGCTCCCCGCAGCCTTCAAGGGTACTGCTCCTCTTGTCTGTCTGTCTGTGCCCAACTCCCATGAAGGTAAATCACTAGTTACCTGTCCTTCAACATCCCACTTAAATGCTACATTCTCTATGAAGTCTTTCTGAACTCTTCCCGGCTGAGCTAGTGCTTCTTCTCCTTGTTCTCCTTCTGTACTGTTCATGTCTCTTTTAGAGCACTCACGGCACAGAGCTATGATTTTTATTTGCAT